AGCTTGTAGTCATTGAATGTTTTCAGATGTAATGACGTCGTTATGGCTTGGGAGTAGCAACATGGTGCGTACAACATGGCTTCAAGTCAAGTGTTGAATTAACCTGTGGGTTTAATGCAGTGTTAAAACAATCACAGCCCTTTCTTGTTAATTGTATTTAACCCTAAATTCTGACAAATAATTTCCTCATATTTTATATCCAGTTGACTCAATTTTGCAGCATATTAAATATTGTTGAGTGTTGCTGTTCAGTGTTCCACTGGCTGTGAACTGTGCAGGTTAATAATGAAGACAAAACTCTGCAAACGCCTGATTTAACTCAGAAGTCCATCATCTTTACACGCTTTTTCCTTTTCGGGTTGTGAGGTCATGGGGAGTGGTGGCGCAGAGGTTAGAGAGGTGGGCCTGTGATCAGAAGATCGTCAGTTCACACCCCGACAACATCAAAATTGTGGGTGGGGTAGGTGAAGCACCCACACTTGCCCCCATCCTCATTTGCCCCACTCTGGGCCCATGAGCAAGGCCCTTAACCCCCCATCTGCTCCCTAAACAGGTCTCTCTTGAAAATGAGTTCTCGTGGCTCAATGAGACTACCTGGATAAATAAAGGCTAAATGAAAAAAAAATGATGCCCACATCCAGCCATCACTGTGTGAGAGGCGGGGGACACCCTGGACAGACCTCTAGTCCATCACAGAGTCACAACTGGAAAGTGCACCTTCTTTTTGTCTTTATGTTAAGTAAGGCAAATGCTGTCCAAAACAAGAGTTCATTGCTGAACTCAGTGCCACAGTCTTATAATCCTGAGGTTGCAGGTTTGAGCCCAGGTTGAATCAGGAAGGGCATCTGGTGTAAAACCATTGCAAAATCTTTCATGCAGATTCTCTCGTTGTGACAACCCTGCAGAGCGGAGCAGCAACAAAAAACATTATTAAAAATTAAACAAGCTTTGTAAATACAAATCTTAACGTTGACAATTATTACCTGGAGTTAGCTTGCTGTGGCGACCCCTGGAGAAGGGAGCAGCTGGGAAAAACAACTGCATTCCATATTGTTGAACACATGATCCAAGCTGCGGTGTGGTCACCTTGATGGAGATTGAACACCCCCCCCCCCCCCCCACCCCCCGTCTCTGCTCTGCACACTGGAGAGATTTAAACCCACAGAAGCCCAGATACACTGACACACTGTATAACCAGCAGCACGCTTCCATCTAAACATCTAATTTGAAGCAGATGGAGTTATTTCAATTCAGTTCAATTCAGTTTATTTATATAGCACCAAATCACAACAAAGTTGTCTCAGGGCACTTTACAGAAACATTCACATACGTAAAAGCCAATTAGTAAAGTTCTCTATCTAAGGAATCCAGCAGACAAGTTGAATCTTGACAACCAGTTTGTGTCAGATGGACTCGTCTCATTTTGTCTCAGATTTTGTAGCCCTGCTTCCCCATTCTGAAGTATTTATGGGCTTTTATTGGCATGCCAGTGTTGATATGGTATTTTTTTGTTGTTGTTTTTTTTAAAATTAATTATGTTGATTATTTTCTCTGACTTCTTTGCTGGAAAACTGTAGTTCCTCCCATTCACAGTGAAGGGTTAACAGCAGATCTCAACTGTGCTCTGACTGGAAACGTGTACTGTATTTTCCACCGTACACGTCGCACCGCCCTATAAGTTGCATCAGTCCAAATAGGTCTAATAAAGTGGAAAAATCCATAAATACGTCGCTTCGCCGTATAAGTCGCATCTATCATATGTCACCGCTGACGCATCGCATTTGTTTCACGTCACCGCTGACAACCTGGAAATGTGGACCGGTGTCGTGCCAAAAATCGATTGGTTGCCAAATGGCGGCCACGGGAGCGTGCACAGGAGGACTTTAACAATAATTTAACAAGATTAACGCTTAAAAACAATTGCTTGTTTGCTTGACTTTATAGTAAAGATGTGTCTCAGTCTAACTTTTACTTAATAAATGCACTTTGACGGTCAAATCAGCTGCATCTCATAATCTGTTTTGCGGAAGCGGGCGCGCGCAAAGGGACGAGTCACTGTGCATTTCTTCAAAACTTAACAAGATGACCACCTGAAACAATTATTTGTTTGCTCGACTTTATAGTAAAGGTGTGTCTCAGTTTAACTTTTCCTTCATAAATGCACTTCAACGGTCAAATCAGCTGCATTTCAAAAGCCGATATGCGGAATTAGGCACGTGCACGGGAGGACTCGCTGTTAGGCACGTGCACGGGAGGACTCGCTGTTCATTGCTTCAAAATTTAACAAGATAACCACCTTAAAACAATTATTTGTTTGCTTAACATTATAGTAAAGTGGTGTCTCAGTTGAACTTTTACTTAATAAAAGGGCTTTAACAGTCAAATCAGGCGCAATGAAATGAAGCTGATTTGATGGTTGCTCCAGGTGAATTGGATGAAGGTAGCGTTCTATGGCAAGCCGATAGTGTCATTAATAGCCACCTTTACCTATTACATGACACAATGGCATGCTTTAGTACTCGAGTGCCATCTAGCGGCTGAAAATGGTAGTGTTCAATATTTTCAGTCAGAATGAATGAAAACGATCATATCTCAGCAAAAAATTGGTTTGTGTATATGGGAAAAAATCCATAATTAAGTCGCTTCGGCGTATAAATTGCAGGGCATACAAATTATGCAAAAAAACGCGACTTATAGGGTGAAAAATATGGTCAGTGAACATTGTGAAATCAGTCTAGTCTAGTCAAGATGTTTAACACAACAAATGTAAAATACTTTTCTGTCAGTTCAGTGCATTAGAACAAAGAATGCAGAGGCGATCTGTTAATTTACACGAAAGTGACATGTAGCGGCTCAGCTTTAGGAAGCTAACTCACCTGTAACTTGTTAGTTTTCACTTTTCTACTTAATACTCCTCTGACTGCCAGCTGCCACTGCCTTCAATGTAGCTCCTGAGGTCTTTTCCACCATTGATGTCAAGAATTGTGAAAATAATTGTACGTATTTCACCAAATCTCTCAGTATTGAAGTGTTTGAAACATTTTGTTAGCATAGGCCATTGGATTATTTGCAGAAAATCTTGTCTGGTAGTGAACCAGTAGATGCTCTACTTTACACCTTCTGTATGTTTCTACCAGAGACTGGATCTACAACTGAATACAACTTCTTTCACCGGAGCTCTACAGAAATGTGTGCCACTGTCTTGCACTTGGTATGGTAATAATCTTAACGAACACCAGTGTTTCCAAGCAAAGACCAGTATAAACTGTAAATCGTTTAATGCTTACAATCACAAAGTGTTAGATCCATTGAGAAGGATGTAGAACCTGGTAGGTGATATTAAATCATGTTTAAGACACCTCGTCAGTGTTTTACCAGACCTGTATTTTAACAGCTGTTATCCATCTGTGTGTGGCCTATGAATTATAGCAGCCAAATGTTATTAAAAACATTTTATTTAATTAGAATTAACTCTGCAGGTAGTTCCTCATGAAGCTCGGTGTTAAACGTCAAGGAGCAAATTATGTTGTTTTAACAGCAAAATCTGCCACTTTCCTACTCAGTGAAAAACACGGCGCTACAATAACTTTGTGGACATGATTTGTGGGCGTGGCCTATCCGGTTTGCTCTTCAGTAGTATTTTTGTATTTATGGTTTCCATGTGAGGTGGTTTGTTTTTTGCTGGTTTCTGTTTAATGGAAAGAGAAAAACTTGAATTATTGTGGATTTATTTTTGTATCACTTCTTGTGGTTCACTGAAGGACATATATGTTGATGTCTTTTTATTGTTAAAAAAAAATATATATATATAATATATAGATATCTCTCTCTCTCTCTCTCTCTCTATATATATATATATATATATATATATATATATATATATATGTATGAATTGAAATTGAAAAT